ACAACAGTCTCTATGTCAGGGGATACAGTCATGTGTGTACAGCCTGAACTGGAGGAGGCTGATGGTAACACTGCAGCAGTGTGTGTTACTTTCACACCAACCGATTTGTTTAGGCTGGTGTGAAAGCCGTCAACCAAACTGAAAGCAACCAGACCGAGACTGCATGAAAAGGAGGGCTCAGCCTGCTTACTATTGGACTCTAGCGTGGTTCGTTTGTGGTCTGAAAGCTGCAGTATGTTATGATTTTGTATGAGTTACCTGTCAGTCCTGAGGAGTTATTGTTTACACACTCGTTTGTAATGAGTCAGCGTGATCATGAATCTGATAAGAGAACCTGATAAAAGACTACAGGTGTGAAAGCACCCTATGCTAAATGTGGATAAAGTCACAATAAATATAATACTTTTCACAGAATAGCATCTTTATCATATTGACATGTTGCTACAAAAATCAGTGTAACCTGTTCAGCTCAATGTTCTACAGTAAGTGCATATTATGGGAATATTATAAAGCCTGAAATGACAAAGTTAAGACTGTTTCAGCCTTTTAGCATTTTGTTTATTGCTGACATTTTTCCTGTAGTTCCTCTGAATAATGTAACACTCCTCCTGCTTCATGAAATATATCAGGCATAATTAATACCAAATTGATGGAGCAAGTATTCTTTCTCAGATTTTTGTCAGCAGCTAGAGGTAAATATTAGTTTATCTCGAGTCAGTTCAACAGGCAAACTTCATGAATCATATTTTAAGGCGTGTGCCATCTCTATGGTTAAGGTTGAGTTAAGGCAACTGAATGAGCTTTGTTATGATTATGAGAAAATAGTGGTTATGATTGTAAGAGATTAACATTGACTGATGGTTAGAAACAGGATAAGCGGGGTTCAATGTTATTGTATTTTTTGCCTGGTTGGGCAAGTTTCTCAGAAATCTACTTGCCCAAAATCAATTTTTACTTGCCCCTATTCACATTGTTTTCTTTAATAGCAGCTATCAAGTAACAACAAAGTCCCTCTTAGCTGTCATGAATGCGATATACTGCCGGCTCTTGTTATGGCACTAATAAACAACCCTGGAACTAAACTCCTTCAGGATAATTGAAATGCTTGCTGGAGATCATAAACTTTGTCAACCGGCCTTGAGAGTGCTTGATCGTTACTGTGCACATGAAACTTTCAACAGAGATGAGAAGGAAGAAATGGCTACTCTATAGTTTTATACTTCCATCATAAGCTCTAGCAGCAGATGATTATGACTGCAGTATGTGGTGTCAAAGTCCCACACTCACTGTACATGCAGTCAGTTGTGAGTATTATTATTATTATTATTATTATTATTATTATTTTTGCCATTGCCCATGGATTCACTGTGCAGCACCTTAAATGAGAACTTTGTCATGTTTTAAATATGTAATATTTTGCAAAGGAAGTTTCAAATGATTTCGATATTAAGTGCAATACATACATTTATTTAATTTCTCATGTTAATTTCTTTTTTTCCCTCAAACTGCTGTTTTCAAGCATTATATTTTGCCCATCCATTTCGTGCCTTCCTATATGCATGTACTCCACATATCTTGGCATTGTCAGTTGGTTGTTGTGTTGCTGTACTTCCTCTTTGTAAAGTTCTGAAGTGGGTTATACTGTAGCACAACTTTACAGTTAACTGGCATTTTCATGGGCTTCACTTTGCTTACGAATTCCATTTGAACTACTCCATACAGCATGATTCCACCAGCCAAGGCTTTGTTGGTTCTGGCTGTCACGTGGCTGCTGGAGCAGATTGCAGGAAGTGGATAAAGTAATGGCCTACAGAATCTGGTCACTTTTCAAAATATAACATGCTGTGCAGAGCCTTGATTGTAAAAACTGACAAAAACTAGCCTACTTACCTATGGTAGAAGCATATACATCACAGAATAATATCCAAATCAATAAGAAGAAAATTTGGTAGCAAAACACACTGGTGGGGTAGCGTTCCAGTTCCAATTAAAATCAAAATGAACTCCGTATAGTGATTTTGCAGTGGCACTTTCAACCTTTAAACCAAATTTTTAAATTATTACAATATGAAGCACAGTTATTTTCCTGCACCTAATCCCTACATGTGGATTCAGGTTTTTTGAGATTGATTTTCACACCTACGCAGTTACCTAAGCACCTGTATGAGTAAATACCAATGCCCCCGCTTCTGCCGACAGCTCGAAGTCTTGTTGAATCGTTGGTATTAACTGTTCCTTCTAACTCTCTGAGGACTGAGGCGCCACTCCTTTCCTCTTCCCGTCTGCACTCTCCTGAATGTGATTATTGGATACTGAAAAATTATTAACCTCCTAGTGAAGGGTCAGCCGTATTAATTTACTGCAACTGTTGGAATGTCCTTGTTGAACATGTGCACAGTGAAGTATCTCAAATGCCAATTAGCCTCCACGTTTCATATTTTTACTTGGCTTGGCATGTCGCAGTGAGTTCTACCTTACAAATGACATCCGTTTCCAAAGACTCTGTTAGACAGGATCCACTGCAGCAGCTACTTATTTAAAAAGAAACTTCAGAGAGAAAGACAGTTTTCTTTTACCTCTAAGAGAATAAATGTGGTGAAATTCACAAGTTCTGGTCATAATCTCTCACTGTATTTTTGGTATTTCAGGCGCTAATCCTCATTGGTTGCAAATGACATTCATTCATGGTATTTCTTAAACTTTTAACATAATATGCTATAGGCAGTAGAATGTTACAAACCCATGATGGGTATGTAATATTGGGGAAATAGTAAGATACAAATAGACAGACTCTCCCTCCACCCACTCTCTCTTTCAGGAGTGTGCAGTAGTTGGATAAATATTGTTATTTGGTTTCACAGTTGGTTGAAAAAAGCTCAAAGGTCATAGGTTTCTAGCTATAATCTAAGAATGAATTGTCCGATTCCCGCTTTTACACACATTGACTGGGACAACACAATGACTATGATCACATGCTCGGTAGTAGTAGTTTTCCACTATTAATCCAATTACAATATTCAGCATTTGATAGGGATTAATGTACACAATATATTCCATTTGGTGATTCTATTTTACTGATGCTGTAATTAGACATTGACCTATGTGTAACATTTAGGAGGCTCTACTGGCAGAAATGCAATATAATATGTAGAGGGAAAAATTTAATTGGTGTATAATCACCTGAATATAGCAAAAAGAAAGCTATTGCAGCGAAGGTCTCAACCGCTAGTTTTAAGTCTTCTTCCATACAGCATGATGTTCATTTTGTAAATTATGGTCCCATTTAGAGTAAAATAGACGATAAAGCAGGGTAGGGTG